AACAATACTGTGAATCACAGTATCTCGTTAAAAATAAAAACAAGGCTGTGCCAAGACACTATATGTAGGCTCTCCATGCAAACTGGGCTTTCTCTCTGCATGGTATCAAGGTTCTAAGATCTGCCATTTTAGTGATATCCCTGGTAGCAAGTCTATCACCTTCATGCAGTCTATGAAACATCACTTCAGTCTCTCCCACACTTAAAGGGGCATAAAGGAAGCACCACCTCTTCACAGGAAGACTCTGACGATCACTTTGGAAATGAGTATATAAAATAGACCTCTCATTGCCACCTTGAAAAATTCAATCTGCCAAACTTGAAATCCCATGGTAGGGGTAGGCACTTTTGTTTCTCTGGTTCTGACTAGTTTCTAATTTAGGAGGCTGAAAAGCTCTTTCCTGCATAGAACAATCTTCCGTCTGGTTTTGTTCAGCTTGCACAGTCCCCAGGGCACCAAAATTTACATAACTTAACACCAGAGCTAAGTGCTGCTTGATTTCTACTTCTACCTTTAATCTTTCTTGTCTATTTCCAAATGTGTATGATCAAACTACTAGCAAGCTGAAAGCACTCGATCTTTAAAACCAACCAAAGAAGTATGGTGGCAATAGGCAAGCTGAACAGCATTTTAAAGCTACTGAACAACTATGCACTCTTGATGTTAGTGTCATCATTAATCTTTGGGGGCAGGGGGGTGAGAGGTTGAAGCACACCAAGGTACACAGGGCTTACTCCTAGTTCTGTGCTCAGGCATCACTCCTGGCAGTGTGTGGACAACTGGTGAGAGAAATCCAATTCAAGTAGGTACATGCAAGGCAAGCACCCTACGAGTTGTGCTCTCTCCAGCCCCAGGTCTGTGTCATTACACATTACAGAACGGGGAATCAAAGCCCTGGGCGTCAGGAATTTGCAAAAGCTCTTCCTTTCAAGTATACCAGGAAGGAAGAAGATTCTTCGATTAGATTCCTGTCACCGACAACATTGCAGCACCCTCTGCTGTCAGGGAGCCAAGAGGTGTCCAGGGGTTTATTTTTCCCTGCATAATTTTTCAGCAATTTTGTACATGGGCTGCCAATCATCTTATCCAGATGTAAAAGCAAAAGACCAAAGAGGGGAGGAAAGTTACAGAACTTAGTTGAGGCAAGCAAACAAAGATAATGAAAATCTTAAGTGCATTCAGCTAATGGGTAGTAAGCGAAAAGGCAGCGTATCTCAAGACCAGGCATTAGAGACAACTTTATACGGCTATCATTGTATACTTTCAAGAAACTAATTCATTTAAGAAGCTAATTTTAAGTTCCTGAAAAACAACCTCTGAAACAGAATGAATGCTGTAGCAAGTTGGTCATGGTCACACAGCAAGTAAAAGGCAGAGCAGAGCCACAAATGCCAGTCACTTGTCTCCAGAGCCTCTATCCTTTTTTTTTTGGGGGGGGGGTCACACCCGGAGATGCACAGGAGTTACTCCTGGCTCAAGCACTCAAGAATTACTCCTGGCGGTGCTCGGGGGACCATATGGGATGCTGGGAATCGAACCTGGGTCAGCCACATTCAAGGCAAATGCCCTACCTGCTGTGGTATCACTCCAGCCTCTATCCTTTTTACCATTCTGCTTTGCTGTCCAATAAGTAAATCTGTTCATGAGGAGAGGGGAGCATTACTTGAGAAGTACTGTTAAACATTACTGCTCTTACCTAAAAGAAAATTGATGACCAGGAAAGTTATTTCCCACTTGTCAAAAGTTCAAATTATTTTGCTTTTATGAAAGACCTACATTAGTATATTTTTTCCACTAAGGGAAATAAATCTGGAGACTTCGGCTCTTCCAGTAAAAGGTGAGAGGCGCAAACAGCACTCAACGGATGATTCGAAGCAGCCGTAATAGCAGCACTTCACAATTTGAGCTGCAAAAAGTGGCCCCATCACACTCCCTCTCAAGGAACTTCTCTATACAAGCTGTGTGTTTATTAAAGATGTTACTGCTCTTCTAGGTCTTATGTGTTATTTATGTGGCATGATTTGGGTCAGTTATTCAGAGGGGGCCCAAGAATGCTCAAAAAATTTTTCACATGAAGAAACTCTACATACACTTAAAATTTACATGAAAATTTTCAGAAACACTTTAAAAAAATTTTTTTTATTAGTGAAACACCATGAGGTACAGTTGTAGACATAAATTTTTGTGCTTGGGTTTTTGTTGTACAATGATCGAGTACCCATCCCTCCACCAGTGCCCATTCTCCACCACCACTGATCCCAGTACCCCTCCCACCCACTTATCCCCCCATCCCACCCTGCCTGTGGCATGGCACTCCCTTTTGTTCTCTCTCTCCTTTTGGGTGCTGTGACCTGCAAAAGAGGCATCGAGTGGCAACATGTTTGGTCTAGAGTATAGTCTCAGCATGCTTTTCCCATCCTGGGGGGATCCTTCCAATACCCCCCATTTGGTGCTCCCTTCTACATCTGGGCTGCCTTTACCGCTAGAGTGTGAAGCTGGCCTCCAAGCCATGGAATAAACCTCCTGGTATTTATCTCGGCTATTCTTGGGTGTTAGTCTCCTATTTTTGTTACTTTATGTTCCCCAGATGAATGCAATCTTTCTGTGTCTATCCCTCTCTTTCTGACTCATTTCACTTAGCATACTTTCCATGTAGTACCACTTGTATGTAAATTTCATGACTTCATCCTTTCTGATAGCTACATAGTATTCCACTGTGTAGATGTACCAAAGTTTCTTTAACCAGTCATCTGTTCTCGGGCACTCAGGTTTTTTCCAGATTCTAGCTATTGTAAACAGTGCTACAATGAACAGACAACTGTAGATGTCACTTCAACTATACTTTTTTACCTCTCCGGTGTATATTCCCAGGAGTAGAATTGCTGGGTCAAATGGGAGCTCAATTCTAGTTTTTTGAGAATCATCCATACTGTTTTCCAGAAGGGTTGAATCAGTCGGCATTCCCACCAGCAGTGGAGGGTCCCTTTCTCACCACATCAGTGCCAGCAGCGGTTGCTTTTGTTCTTTTGGATGTGGGCCAGTCTTTCAGAAACACTTTGAGGGCCAAAGAGATAGCTCAAAAGGTTGGAGTGCGTGCTACATTACCTGCAGTCACAGTTACCAACTCCATGTCTTCCTCAAGTCAGCTGCTAGCGGGCTTTCAGCTTTGGTTGTATTCCACCATCACCACCCGTTTCTCCACTCAGACTTTACACTGCTTCCATATATTGTTTCATACATTCTTTCAGTACAGTGGTGAAACACAAACCCTTAATAAAAGAAATGTTCAGCCCCGGAGAGTAGCATAAAGCACAAATGCTGCCCAATGCCCACGTGGCTGAGCACATGGGGCGCCCGCATCTCCCTTTTTGAGATGTGCAGTTTCCCATCTAATGTTAGGTGTGCAGGTGCTCTCTCCACCCTTGAAGAAGCCCGCTTTCTATCTTTAGTGCTTTACTCTCTCTTTCCCTTGCTCACCTTCAAAAACCTCCAAATAAAATCTTACTTCAAAAAAAAGTAACATGAAATGTTATTTAGAAGTTTCAAAAAATACTTTTGTATTAACTTTGCAGCGACTCCTCCCCCTCCCCCCTCCCCTCTCCCCCCGCGCCTGGCTGTCCTCACCCGGGGCCCCTTTGGGGGGGGGGGTTGAATTTCCCTCCCCGCCGCGAACAGAGCCCCCGGGCAGCGAAGACCTCAAGAACCAATCACAATCATGCTAAGAACACTCTCCACATGCATGAAGGAACTGGCAGAGGAACACAGGCATGCGGGTCCCGGGGCTGAGATCTCCAAGCCTGCTCGGATCAGGGCTGAGCATCCTCCACCCAGATCCTTCAAATTCCAGTAGGCAGGAGTCACATCCACCAACTGCCCCTGGTGCCAGGTAATCTCATCAACAGCCAAGACCCAGAGACTATAAAACCCAGCTTCCGGAAGCGCGACATCTTATTATCTCGTTCTTTGGACAACCTGGCAGGCTACCGAATGTAACCTGCCCACACGGCAGAGTCTGGCAAACTCCCCGTGGTGTACCCAATATGCCCAACACCAGTAACAATGATGGGTCTCATTCTCCTAACCTTGAAAGAGCCTTGAATATGGCACTTTTAAAAATCTCAGGGCTAAGACGAAGGAGACATTACTGGTGCCTGCTCGAGGCAGTCCTCGAACAACAGGACGATCGTGATCATGATCGTGATTAACTTTGCACTTATAATAAATTTTATATTCAAGGCGGAGGTAAACTTTGAGTTGAACTATAAAGAAAATGTGCAATTTACTTCTCTAGGAAATGACTGGATCCATGAAAAAACAATGTATGCAAAAGCAAGAATCAAAAACTCGGAAGAGGGCCACAGTGATAGTACAGTGGGCAGGATGCTTGCCTGGCACGCAGTGGACCCGGGTTCAATCCTCAGCAGCCCATAAGGTCTCCCAAGCCACAGGACTGGCCCGAAAAAAATTTAAATTTGAAAAAATGAGCACAATACTGTAAAACTTCCAAGTGCAGATTAATCTGCACTTAATCAAACACACAATAGGGAACTAGCACTCTTTTTCGGCGGTGCTGGGGACTGAAGCAGGTCTCAGATACTAAAAGACAAGTGCTCTACATCTGAGCAACATCCCGTCCAACCTGTACACTCATTAAGTCAAAATTGCATCAAGTCTAAATTTGAGGGAAAAAAAATCTAGCAGGATGAGAAGTGAGGAGAAACAAAATGTAATCAAATGTAAGACAAGTAGAATTGAGACTTTTAAGGGAATTTAAGAGAATATAAAGACCAAAGAAGCAAACCTGCTCAACGGTAACACATAATCCAGAGGACTAACTGGACAGCAGAAGAATCCACAAAAGTGAATATAATCAAGTTCATAAAATCAAGAGCTTTTGTAAGAAAGAAATGCATTTGAACATAATGCAAACGGGAAAAAAATTAAGAGCACTTAAGCAAAGGTGACTATAGATAGGAATGCCAATAGCAGTTCAAGGCATATATCATTTCAAATTAATTTATTTATGCTTATCAAGTGCCAGACACTTAAAAACAGGATTTTATCTCCTTAGTAATCACATTTACTTCATTAACAAATGTTTTATAGAATAAACATGTACACAATATAAATTTTTGAAATTTTTTTAGGAAGCAAGCATTTAAAAATCTGATTCATAAACATACCACTTCAAAATTGAAAACTAGTATCATACAGAGCTCCACAAACTTAAGACAATAGAAACTATAAGAGAAAAACATAAACAACTGTATACACTCTTCTTTAATAATAAAAGGAGTCAAAGAGCTTCCATGCACCAAGAAATTTATAAACATACTGAACTAATTATTTTGGTTTTCAGCAATGCTGAGGGATAGTGTCGGGGCTAGAGCCACAGGCAAAGCAAATGTCTTACCTTTGTATTCTTTCCCGCCCTGAACTGATTTTTTTTTTTTAACGAGTATAGCACTGTAGCACTGTCATCCCATTGTTCATCGATTTGCTCAAGTGGACACCAGTAACATCTCCATTGTGAGACTTCTTGTTACTGTTTTTGGCATATCGAATACTCCATGGGGAGTTTACCAGGCTCTGCCATGTGGGCGGGATTCTCTCGGTAGCTTGCCGGGCTCTCCCAGAGGGGCAGAGAAATTGAACTCAGGTGGGCCTCGTGCAAGGCAAATGTCCTACCCACTGTTCTATTGCCCCAGCCCTTTAATGAGTATAGGTTAGATAAAATTCTGTCACAGGGTAACCTGACTCTTTTAGGGAGGAATTATGTTGTGCCCAATTCAAAGACAGTTCTACCATACCTAAGGCCAGATTAAACACATTCCTATAAGCTTACAGGGAAAAAATCCCTTAATAGGAAAGATAAAATTATCTGCAAAAATGTAAACAGCAATGATCACTGGCAGATGAGGTTGGTTTTTATATCTTCTTTTCTTATATCTATTATCTTCAGAAATGATAAAGGTTATTTCTGAAGTCAGAAAAAGTTAAACAAACATAATAGTACCATTGTCACTGTGTCTGCTCATGGGCAATAAATTGATAATGCGTACCTGAGAACTAAACCCTATGAGCAATTTTATCCTATGTACACATATGATAAAAGTTTAATTTTAAATTAGTAAAAGATGAGCAATAAGGAAAATAAAAATGAACTATTCAACTACTAAATTTTTATGTACGAAGTCTCTCAAAATCTTATTCTACTGTACTCAACCTTCTGGAATGTGGTGAAATGTTTGCATGAGAAGACAAAGTAACAATGGTATTGCAATATATATAACCTTCTACACACAGAGTGGATTCACTGGATAGAGGGATGATTCACTGGATATGGGATGGAATAGAACAGGCTACAAAAGATTTTATTTTACTACTCAAAATGGCACACGAAAATTCTGAAATTTTTTCATTTAATAGTTTCGGGCTTTGGTTGGTTGTGAGTAACTGAAACTATAAAAAGCAGAACCACAGGCAAAGAGGGATCACTCTACCCATTTTAACTGCCACATACTGAATACGAAGAAACTTCTTATTGTGGATGAGAACTGATGAACAATTTTAAGTACTGGACAGCCATGTAGAGAAACCCTTGAAAATCGTGGGTAGAAATCCTGAAGAAACTTCAAATTTTCTAAAAACCTTTTCCAGCATATAATTATTATAAGCAAATTAATATATATTATATATTCTGTATTATTTTGGACAAATTTGAAGTTGAACATATAATCTAATTTTAAAGATTTTACAATTGTAAAAACGGAAGGTCTAACAAGTCATGTGCTCCTCCACAGCAGATGACTTGGCTACTAAGGTAAGGATCCACCAGAGTTTGGAGTTATTGATTAGATTTGGATCAGCAACTACAACCTTTACGCACATTCTGTATATAAGCCCAGAAAGTTAGATTTTGCCTTGTTTGTAATGCAAACACTGAACTCAAGCTTTTGAGTACTGAGGTATCCACTTCAAAGGCTTGAGTACACATCAGTCATAATAAAAGAGGCCGGTCACCACCCCTCATGAGAATCCTTTGTTCTTTGATAACTATTTGGACCACTTGTTTTTCATCTTCAGAAACTTTAAATTCTACTTGAAGTTTAGAATTCACCAAAGGAGCCTAGGACTCCCTAGCCCACTCACACCTCCAACCCCAGTAAAACAGAACTGTCAGGCATTGTGTATGCTATAATTTCACTGTTATGGCCCAGGGTGTGCTATGTAATTTGCAGATCCTTTACTTTTTTAAAGCTTTCCATGTTTATTTCACTTTTACAATATGAAGAGCATACCGTCATGTCATTACAATAAAACCACAAGAACTAGTCCAGTTTTAACAGTGATCTGGAAAGGGGAGAAGGCAGGAAGTACACTCACCATGGCCCAAGTGAATACGCCCAGAGATCTCTGGTCAACAACAATACAATCAACAGGCTGAGACTGGAATAACTTACTTGGTCCTGTTATCAAACCTCTGAATCTTAATGCCTTCATTTATAAAACAAAGACAATACCTACCCCAAAGAATCATTACAATGACTAGCACCAATACACAGCCCTCAAAAGACAAAGTTTTATTACCATATATTCTGTCTCCTATTCAAAGATGCAATGATTCTGATTAAAATCAGAGTGTGCTCAACAGTCCAAGAGTATGTTTTACATACTGGACATCTGAGTCTGACCTCTGGTACCACATGGGTCCCCTGACTCCACCAGGAACAACTCCTAGGCAGAATTAGAAGCAGCCTTTGAGCACTGCCAGGTGTGCTCAAAAAACAAATAAATTAAAGAATTAAAATTCATAAAAATTAAAACTAAAGATAGGCTAACTAGGGGCAGGAGTATGACTGAGTTTCTCAAGATAGCAGAAATTATGATTTTTTTAACAACTAGTTATACGTTATCTATATAGTACCTGGTATGAATGGCAACACATCACCTTCCTTCCCCAAACTAAGATTAGCAGCACTGCTATGCCCAAGCCAGGGAAACAGACACAGGGAGAAAGAAAGGAACAGAGCACGAAGATTAGCAGGCAGATAGAATAAAGGTCTGGGGCGAGGAACGTGGCTCAGGAATGAGGCCCTGGACTGACCGCTAAGCATATGCATTGCATCCAGGGGGACTGGGTTGATCCCTGAGCACAGCCAGTAACAAACGCAAGCCCAGAGCCAGAAGTAACCCACAAACACTGCCAGGTGTGGCCCTAAAACAACACCACCTAGAATTTAAAGAGTAGCTCATTAAATACCTGACTTGAATTAGTCTTTGGAGAAATAATTTTAGGCAACTTAAAATTATTTTCAGTGCTGATGGTTTTACTTAAGGCTTATAAAGCTCTATTATTTTACATTTTTCCCAACCACTCTTATAAAAAGAAAACCTCAAGAGGAAAAGGAATTTTCTCACAAGACCGAATCTATTGTCCCTAATGGGCCAAACTAAGTAACCTTGGGGGGGAGGGGAAGTTCTATAAAACACTATTGCAATATAATTTTATTAGCAGTTATTAGATCAAAATTCATTTATAGGATCCAAAGGACTGTCTTAGAAAACCTAAAGCATATGTAGACTTTAAGGATAGAACATATTTTCATTACAGCACAAATCAAGAACATTAAGAATTTGGGGCCAGGGCAATTGTATAGAGGGTAAGGTGCTTGCTTTACACATGGCCAACCTGGGTTCAATCTGTGGCACATGTCTCATGTCCCACCAGGAATGATCCCTGAGCACAGAGCCAGAAGTAAGCACTGAGCACCATCAGGCATGGTCCCATAAACCCCAAAAAAGAGAGACTCAAACGTAGTTCTATGAAGAACCAGAAATGAATTCTGTGAACATAGTGTCACTTAAAGCAAGGGTCCATAAAAAGTATAATATAGCGATAGTACAAAGGGTAAGGTACTTGTCTTGCATGCGGCCAACACAAGTTTACTCCTGGTAACCCCTATGTTCCCTGGACTCCCAGTAGGAGTGATCTTTGAGTACAGGAGTAGGCCCTAAATATTATCCACTGGGTATGGCCCCAAAACAAAAAAAAAAGGTATAATATACATCTATAGATACGAATTTCAGCACAAAATGTCATTGGTTTCAAATAACTGACACGGAATTTTCCATCAAAACACAAGTGCAGAGGTTATCATTCAAGACAGAGCGATGATAATCCTACAGAGTTCTGATAATATGATTTTATGCTGTGAAACTATTACAAAACCACATCAATTATAATGCATAGATTCTGACACATTATGAGAACAGGGTAATAAAGAGAGCAAAAATGCTGCTTTCCAGTGCAGTAAGTATAGGCTGGTCATTGCTGGTCTAGTGAAATTCTACATCCTCCAGTTTGAGCGGTATTGTAGGATTCACAAATATTACACTTCATGCCTAATATATGAAACTGAACTGTTGATCTTCCATTGCAATCATTGCAGAGAATCTGAAAAGAGACGAAGAAAAATCAAACAGATTAAACATTAAAATTACAAAATGGCATGGCCTGCTGAAAATAACTCATTAAGACCACATAAATATATAAAAACATATATGCAAATATATGTATTTTCATTAAGTAGAAATGTATTTTTTTTTTGTTTGTTTTTTTTGGGGTCACACACGGCAATGCACTGGGGTTATTCCTGGCTCTGCACTCAAGAATTATCCATGGCGGTGCTCAGGGAACCATATAGGATGCTGGGAATCGAACCTGGGTTAGCCGCGTGCAAGGCAAATGCCATACCTGCTGTGCTATTGCGCCAGTCCCCAAGTAGAAATGTATTGATTCTGAGGACTTTGAGAAGTCATTCAAACACCTTTAATTTATTTATTTTTGTCTGTTTTTGAGTCATAGCTAGTGGTACTCAGGGCTGATTCCTGGCTCTGCACTCAGAGACAACTCCTAGCAGGCTTGGTGGGCCATACGGGTTGCCAAGGATTGAACCAGGTCGAATGCGTGCAAAGCAAGCTCCCTACCTGCTGTACTATCACTTTGGCCCCAAGATTGCTTTTATTTTAGAAAATGAAAATGTGGATTTGAGTTATTTTACAATAGCTTCCAAAGTGTATAAAAAGTACTATGCCAAAAATAGTTAACAGACATAGATCAATAACTATACTTACAATTCAAAATAGCATACATTTTAGATTGTTTTTAAAAAGTTCTTAAGACATAATATGTGACATAGCTTGTCCATTGAAAGTGTCCAGTTCTTTATAGTATATCCTTGGGGCTATACAAATGTTACCACCATCAATTTTAGACCATTTTTACCACCCCTAAAGAAACCCTATACCCATCAGTTATTTTCTAATCTCCTAGCTCTAATTAGGCAACTTACTTTGTGTGTTTAGCACATATTCTTATTGAATTTACCAAGTTTCATTCAGAACTTGGAGTTTTCTACTTATTATAGAGTGACTATTCTCAATCTAACACCTGCTTTCTCTCACATGGTTACCAATTAATTACTCTATTTTCAAGTTATTACTCCTTTTTCATTTTTAAGAGCGCTCTGAAAGAGAGTAATTCTTCTGTTGAATCTTATTGTCATTATTGAGATAAGCTAAAGCTTATTGAGATGCGTCTCACTGCAATAAACTAAAGTTTCTTATTCATTCTTAGGAACTACTTTATTCTTTGGCTTTATTTGAATTTCCTGTATTTCATGAATTCTTTCCAGAAACTTGAGTCGACATAATTTAAAATACGGTTAAAGACAGGACTTGAATAGCATTCCCTCCACCAGAGTGTCCGCTTCCCTTCATCGTTACTGGGTTGGTCCCTTCCCTGTACCCCACCCTTGGTAAGCTCTGTAGACTAATTTAGGAACTACTCTTTTGGACTTTCATGCATTTTGAGGCATGAGGATTCAGAAATTTAGTGTATTACACCAAAAGATAACAAAAATATGTTTTGTCTGTATAAATAGGCAAAACTTGTTCTATTTAGGGGATTGTCAAAGTCTCTGTGAATAATAACAAAATATACATAAACACAATACAACCTCTAGAAATAGACATAATGATTATCGGGTAAGTAAGTAAGTAAAGGCCCTCCCGTTGATCATCGATTTGCTCGAGCGGGCCCAGTAACATCTCCATTGGAGACTTTGTTGTTTCTGTGTCTGGCACATCGAATACGTCACGGGGAGCTTGCCAGGCTCTGCCGTGCGGGCGAGATACTCTCGGTAGCTTGCCGGGCTCTCCGAGAGGGGCGGAGGAATCGAACTCGGGTCGGCCATGTTGGCTGCGTGCAGGGCAAACACCCTACCGCTGTGCTAAAATATTTTAATTAGTAACAACGTAATGATCCAAAGATTTCAAATTTAAAAATCTGCAATAGAATTAGAAGGGCATTAAAAGCCTTAAAAACAAAAAAATTCAGCTTTAAAAATCAACTAGCATGGGGGCTGGAGCAATATAGCACAGCAGGTAGAGCATTTGCCTTGCACGCAGCGGACCTAGGTTCGATTCCCAGCATCCCATATGGTCCCCCGAGCACTGCCAGGAGTAATTCCTGAGTGCATGAACCAGGAGGAACTCCTGTGCATCGCTAGGTGTAACCCAAAAAGAAAAAAAAAAATTAACTAGCATGTTCAATGTTAAAATTTTTTTTCTAGGCTTTTGGGCCATACGTGGCAACACTCAGGGATTACTCCTGCTCTGCGCTTAGGAATTCCCCCAGCTCGGTGGCCCATTCCCCCTCGCATGGCATGCTGAGGGCAGCCTCGGGCAAGGCAAGTGGCCAGCCCTCTCTGGCCATAACATTTTAAATAACTGAAACAAAACAATTAAACAAAACAAGTCAAGTAAGACAACAGGCAAATAATTCACCTCTAGTTGGTTATTGGACCGGCTCTGGCAAGTGAAGATAATTCAGAATAAAGTTTCTGCCTGCCACCTAGTGTTGGAAAACCTGCACAAAAATACTTCTTAACACTTTCCTTTTGGGGGGGGCTTTTTTCAGTTCACTGTAACTAAAATTTAGAGATTACTTTAACCTTCCCAAATAATCATTACTGTCACTTTTGCCAAGGCAGTATTTTTAAGAAAGATTTCATCAAAAGGACAAAATTAACAAGAGTATCAAAAAGAAAGCTGCAAAGTTTTAAACAGTGTTGATACTCACGTCCACAGTCATGTTCTGATATTCTGAAGGCATGGGAGTCTGTGCTACTTCATCGTCGAGCTGTCTCCAGTACCTAGACATATCTAAAGCAGAATGCATACATAACGGACATCTGTAGCCTCTGGAGGAGATAGAAAAGAAAAAAAAAAGGTTGTTTTCCAACCCTTAAACTGAGGTGCACAAGATGCATGCTAACTGGTAAATAAACCACCCTATTTTCTTTCTAAACACTGAAAAATTTCAACTCTGAATCATTAGAATACCTGCACATCAATTGGTCAGACACAATACATTTGTGGAGACTAATCAAACTATTCCTATCTCATTTTAACAGCCTTCCCTCCCAATCAAGTCTCAGCTTTACTATTCAATATTCATTTTTAGTCACCATAAAATTACAAAGTTATTCATAAGTGGGCTTCAGACATACAATGTTTCAGCACCGATTCACCACTGTCAAGTCAAGTCTCAGCTTCAGATAACCTAATCTCCTTAGCTTTCTCTGAAGGTCATCATCATACTAGACAAACATAATTACTTAGGAGTGTGAGTAACATGACTCAGCAGAAACTCTGCTCCATTGTAAACATGACCAAAAACTGAACACAGGATCTATCTCAGGTTGTGGGAAGAGACAGAGCTCCAGAAACCTGGAGATAAAGCACCTACATACCTCAAGATGCTTTGCCAGACTACTCAAGATATATATCAATGCTCAATCAGTAGCAGCACTATTTGCCTGCCTCAAAAAAACATCTTACAAGTAGATTTTTTTTTTGGGGGGGGGAGGGGAGACTACAGCGGTACTCAGGGCTTTCTCCTGGGTCAGCGCTCAGTAATTACTCCTGGAGGCTTGGGAGACCATATGGGATGCGCAGAATTGAACACCCGGATAGGCTACAGACAAGGCAAGCATTCTACCTGCTGTATTATGGCTCTGGAATCCTCAGTTACAATTTAAATCCCATCCAAATACTCACTCTTTCAACATTTCTTCATAACATGTTCTGGGGGGGAAAAAAATCCACAACATTATTTTTAGTACAGCAAAACTTAACTCCAATATTTTAAAACATTTTTGAGAGAAAAAAATCAATTACCTTACCTATGTAAAAGATGCCCACATGGCAAGACATGAGCAACAACACGGGATGTATGAATGTCCTGTCAAGAAAACATTACTATTTATATGAAGACAATATAATTCAAGTGCACGTTTCCAGAGATAAAGGGTATTTAAGCTTACCTCCAAACATATTGGGCAATTCTGTCGGGAGACATTTTCAATACACTGTTAAATAAAAAGTCAAATTACCAAAAGCGTAACCAGCTGAAAATGTCAGATATAACAATATTATTAATAATAAAAAGCTTAAAATGAAAACAATAAGACCAATCACTAACTATAACTACTTCAGGTTTTTCACATTACCTGAAACAATAAATTGTTCAATACATCTTAATCATACAAAGCATTTCCAATTTACAGGTAAGTTAATTCAGTGATTCAAAATTTACCAAAGATGCAAAGAAAATGGATGCTTGAATACCTTCCCTGTAAGTGTTTTAGGTCATGGCTAAGTTACTTTAAAATATTGACATTCCATATAGAGGTGTTTCATTCTCACAACTCTACAAAATACATATACAATTATTAAACCATTTCATAAATGAGGTTATCTGAAGCCTAGCAAAGCAAAATAACTTCAAAGTTGGGGCTGGAGAGATAGCACTTGTTTGGCACACAGCCAATCTGGGTTTAACCCCTGGCATTCCAGATGGTCCCCTGAGTACCACCAGATCCTTGAGTACAAAGCCAGGAGTAAGCCCTTAGGTGTGGGCTTACTGGGTGTGGCCCCCAAAAAACAAAAAAGAAAACAGAAAAACAAAAGACAAAAATATATAGTTTAAAAGACAATGCAGTAGGGAGGGAATCCCTTGAAATGAATCTAAATTACAATCACAGCCCCACCAATTACTTTCCCTTAAGATCTTGGACAAGGAACTGGAGAGAGAGCTCAACCAGCTGAGCACATGCTTTGTATGCAGGAGGCTCTGGTTCGATCCCAGTATTGCATGGTGCCCCAAATACCACTGAGCACAACGCCAGAGGTCACCTGTGAGACCACTAAGTATGGCCCCAGAGCCAAAAAAGGAAAAAAAAAAAAAAGATCTCAGTAAGCTTTAACTTTTTAATTGTTTTTGTTGTTTTGCGGCCACACCCAGCTATGCTGAGGGCTTACTCCTGGCTCTGCTCAGAAAGCACCTGGTAGTAGTTCGGGGGCTAATATGCTTACAGGAGGTCAGTGGGGTTGGACACATGCATGGCAAGCACCCTAGCCCTGTGCTATTACTCAGTCAAGGCATCACTTCTTTTAGCCTTCTTTTTTCATGATAGAACATACATATTTTTTTAAATTTAAGATGCAGTTCCTATACACACATCTTATCATCTCTGGAATCACAATCTTCTAAGGGTATTATTTGACTGATGTGGACAGATATTTTTGTATCTGTAGCCACACCTGGTGGTACTCAGGGTGTACCTGAGTACCTGACTTTTCCCTGGCTCCATGCTTGGGGTCACTAATCTGGTGACCTGAATGAATTTTGGTTGTGTGCATGAATATGCATGTGTGCATGTGCGTGCAGAGACACGACACATGGTTTGAAAATCCCAAAGCACCACAGAAGTACTGTTTATGAAAGATTACTAATTCCTGAGTAATACTAGGACCATTTGCTTTCCATGCAGGAGGCCTGGATTCAATCCCCAGCAGTTCTGTACCCAGAACACCACTAGGAGTGACCCCAAGCATGAAGCCAGGAAAAAGCCAGGTACTCAGGTACACCCTGAGTACCACCAGCTGTGGCCACAGAAACAAAAACATCTGTCCACATTACACTGTCAACAGTATGCTAAGACTGATACAAATATTCTTACATACTATAGAGAAGAAAAGAAATTATAGGAATACTGAGGCATGTATTTTAGAGCATCTACTACTTAAAACTGATAAAAATAAGTGAGTTATGTGACAGTATCTGAAAATCATTCTTCTAAATATATCAGAATTTAAGCAGGTTTAAGAACTTTATAAAACTTCTAAAATTATGCAAATTAAATATATACCTTGTGCTTCCCTTGAAGATTTATAGCTAGGCATAAGTTACATTTCAAACAGTGGAAAAAATCTTCCTTTGGACCAATCCTAAAAAATACATAAAAGTCAACAATTAGACTGACTGCACCATAGTAATAATTTATTATACATAAACTTACATGCACTATAAAAGACTCACATGAGACTCACATCAATTATAGGAAAAAATAACTACAATAGCAGTCTAGAGACATTGATGAAAAGATGGGTCAAAATCTAAAAAAAATTTTTAAATAATGAACGTGAGCTGGTAACTTTGAGCAACTTATACATGAAACTGGAGATCAGAAAGGTGAAGACAGAAAAAGCCGAGAGCATAAACTCAAGGAGTCAAGAAACCAACAATCCCAAAACATAAGCAACATGAAGAAAACTAAACCATGGAACACCACACTCCAATTGTCCAAAATGAAGAAAAAGAAAAAGATACAGAAGAACAAAGAAATACAGATTTCTCACTGCAAACAGTATACGAGTATACAGTGAAAGATTTTCATTTTCATTTTTTAATATTTTTTAACCTATATATTTTAATCATAGTACAAAGCTGTTCACAATTGGGTTTCAGTCTTACAATGTTCCAACCTTGTATGAAGCAATCCTTCACCAGTGTAAATTTCCTACCACCAATGTTCCCAGTTTCCCTCCCAGACCAAACCCAGCCAATATTTGTGGCAGACATTTCTCCACTCTGGAGAAGCTCCTGTTCTGGTTTTTGGGAAGGGTTTTTATGCCACACCCAGCTGTACTCAGGGCTTACTCCAGACTCTACGCTCAGGGATCACTCCTCTAGGCTCAGGGGACCATATGGGGTGTCAGGGATTGAACCTAGGTGGGTCATATGTGAGGCAAGCACCCTACCTACTGTGCAATCACTACAAACCCTCATGTTCTCTTTTGAACACTTATTTCTCTCTCCCCTCACATCTTTCTAAGTAAATTTCTTTCAATAAAATATCTTCACTAAAAATATGAAAAAGTAAATAAGACCCAGAGCAATATTACAGGAGGCAGGGCACTTACCTGCTTACCTGACCCAGGTTCTACCTCACCTGGCCTCCCATTTGGTACACTGAGCCTGACCATAAGTGAACCCTAAGCACAGAGCCAGGAGTAAGCCCTGAGCACTGCCAGGTGTAGGACTCCTCCCCAAAAGAAGGGAAAAAAAAATATATATATATATAGGCTAGAATGTTTGAAGTGCCAACAGTAAGAGAAATCTAGGCCAGAATACCTGATTACCTGACTACTTTGCTGTGAAGATTTTGTTTGCTTGTTTGGGATTTTTAATTAAGGCACCCCCAGGAGTTCTCAGGGTTTACTCTTGGCTCTATGCTAAGGGATCACTCCAGGAGGGGCTCAGGGGACCATATGGAGTGCTAGGGATGGAACTCTGGTCAGCTGCATTCAAGGCAAACATCTTGCCCACAATAATATCTCTCTGGCCCTTGCTTTTCAAAAAGCGATAATGTTTCACAGTGAGTCAATAAAAGAGAAAGAATGATTGGGACCAGAAAGATAGTATAGCACCGGGTTCAATTCCCAGCATCCCATATGGTAACCTGAGTATTCAAGTGACCTGAGTTTATACATGTAATTGTATTTCAATAAAACTGATTTTTCAAAAATCCATTATTGTCCTGATACATTAGGAAAAAAGGTATTTTACATACAGTACCTACAAATTCCACATTTTTCACAATGATACTGCTTCTTGTCTTTGTCAAAGAGGTGGCATATACTACAGTAATATTCTCCAAATAACGTGCTGCATTCTTCACAAGTCTGTTGGGCCTAAAATGACATATGCAATTAGGAAGTGAAATAACTTTACAAAAATTACTACTATTTGAATATCCACAATTTGTTTAAAGTATATAGCTCTGCTTTTATAAATTCTTAATCAAAGCAAAGATATTATTTATTCTAAAAGTTAAAAGTTATCACAGTTGCAACATTCTCAATTAGAAATGTATCATAAAATCTTACATGTTGAATTTTTTCACAGTTTATGCACTGCACTTCCTTTACTTTAAAGCGATCTAGCTGATGATCCTCTTGGCTATCATGACACAACCGGCAAGTATAAAGTTTTTCACAGCAAGGTGCCTAAACCCAGGGAGAAAAAGTTATAAGAATCAAAATAAGACAATTTTAAATGCAAAAAGAATTGATATTTTTTTCCTTCCTCTCCTGGAATAGGCCAAAGACTAGAAGCAACGAATCAGTTGTTAAGCATCTCCTAAACAGACTACAGCTCACCATTTCTTGGCATGTTTTAATTATTTTCTTCGGCACTGTTATATGTCTGAAGTTTAATGCAACCTCCTAGTTCTTAAAAACAAAGATTTACAATAGATGAAAATCCTTAGGAACAGGTCAGGATGGGAGATGGGTGCAGAAAGTAGATAAAGGACCAAACATGATAACTTCTCAGTGTCTGTATTGCAAACCATAATGTCCAAAAGTAGAGAGATAGATTCAGCTGAAGAGAAGAACAACATGGAGGGTGGGATCCACAGATCCTGAAGGGAAAAAAAAAAAAAACAGGTTCTAAAAAGAGCCGAGATCATTGGGAAGCCCCAGATGGGGTAGGTACCGCATCCCGCCTCCCCCCCAGATGGAACCCCAGTGACCAGAAGCCTCTACAACCACAGCTCGAGTATGCGGGAACTAGGACTTTTCCTCAAAACCGCGCGGCCGCTCACGTGGCCGCGCGACATCTCTCTATATACAAAGTGATCCATGGGAAGTAAATGACCCAACGTTTCTCTCTCAAAATCATAGTTAAGTTTGGAGCACGGCCACAGCCCCAGAAACACAAGGACTTAATGCAGAACCCGGAAGCTTGGAGCAGAAAAGTGAACGGACCATGTGTTAATCCAGGCCATCAAGTCTGCCGGAGGAGAAAGGGTGTTGCCCCATTCGCCCTCTCTTCTCTGGAAAGAAGGATGGCGGCTGCATGGGAGCCTTGTGGACAGCAGGTATGAGCTGGGGGAGTGGGGGCGACTAAAACCTCATGGGAAGGGGGGCGTTCCGGTCCGTCCTTCACGCCCTACCGAGGTCACCAGTTGCCCCCCGCAAGCGGCTCTCCAGCACGGCCACGGCCCCAGAAGCACAAGGACTTAATGCAGAACCCGACAGCTTGGAGCAGAAAAGTGAACGGACTATGCGTTAATCCAGGCCATCAGGTCTGTCCGGAGGGGAAAGAGTGTTGCCCCAGTCACCTTCTCCTCTCTGGAAAGAAAGATGGCGGCCACATGGGAGCCTTGTGGACAGCAGATATGAGCCGGGGGAGTGGGGGCGACTAAAACCTCAAGGGAAGGGGGGCGTTCCAGTCCGTCCTTCACGCCCTACCGAGGTCACCAGTTGCCCCCCACGAGCGGCTCTCCAGCACGGCCACAGCCCCAGAAGCACAAGGACTTAATGCAGAACCCAGCAGCTTGGAGCAGAAAAGTGAAAGGACTATGCGTTAATCCAGGCCATCATGTCTGCCCGGAGGGGAAAGGGTGTTGGTCCCTTCCGCCCTCCTCCCTCTGGAAAGAAAGATGGCGGCCACATGGGAGCCTTGTGGACAGCAGGTATGAGCCGGGGGTGTGGGGGCGACTAAAACCTCATGGGAAGGGGGGCGTTCCAGTCCGTCCTTCACGCCCTACCGAGGTCACCAGTTGCCCCCCGCAAGTGGCTCTCCAGCACGGCCACGGCCCCAGAAGCACCAAGGACTTAATGCAGAACCCGGCAGCTTGGAGCAGAAAAGTGAATGGACTATGCGTTAATCCAGGCCATCAGGTCTGTCCGGAGGGGAAAGGGTGTTGCCCCAGTCGCCTTCTCCTCTCTGGAAAGAAAGATGGCGGCTGCATGGGAGCCTTGTGGACAGCAGGTATGAGCCGGGGATGTGGGGGCGACTAAAACCTCATGGGAAGGGGGGCGTTCTGGTCCGTCCTTCACGCCCTACCGAGGTCACCAGTCGCCCCCCGCGAGCGGCTCTCCAGCACGGCCACGGCCCCAGAAGCACAAGGACTTAATGCAGAACCCGGCAGCTTGGAGCAGAAAAGTGAACGGACTATGCGTTAATCCAGGCCATCAGGTCTGCCCGGAGGGGAAAGGGTGTTGGTCCCTTCCGCCCTCCTCCCTCTGGAAAGAAAGATGGCGGCCACATGGGAGCCTTGTGGACAGCAGGTATGAGCCGGGGGTGTGGGGGCGACTAAAACCTCATGGGAAGGGGGGCGTTCTGGTCCATCCTTCACGCCCTACCGAGGTCACCAGTTGCCCCCCGCAAGCGGCTCTCCAGCACGGCCACGGCCCCAGAAGCACAAGGACTTAATGCAGAACCCGGCAGCTTGGAGCAGAAAAGTGAACGGACTATGCGTTAATCCAGGCCATCAGGTCTGTCCGGAGGGGAAAGGGTGTTGCCCCAGTCGCCTTCTCCTCTCTGGAAAGAAAGATGGCGGCCGCATGGGAGCCTTGTGGACAGCAGGTATGAGCCGGGGGACTGGGGGCGACTAAAACCTCATGGGAAGGGGGGCGTTTCGGTCCGCCCTTCACGCCCTACCAAGGCCACCAGTTGCCCCCCGCGAGCGGCTCTCCAGCACGGCCACGACTCCAGAGCACAGAAACCAATTTCTTAACTATCTGACTTTCAGTAGAAATACTTCCAGGGTCAATAAGTAAAATAGCAGAAATCCAAAACCAACATATAATTCTTGAACCCAGCTGTAGAAAGCAAATCACTTCACAATGCTTTGTCAGCATGTCTGATTCGGGGGGGAGGGGGGTAAACTCTAAATAATAGTGGTGAATCTTTTATTGAAACAGTGAATCTAATCAAAGCAGATAGAGTGTTAACTAGAATTCATCTGCCTCACAGGGACTGGGAGGGGTGGGGGGTGGGGTTTTATTGGGGTTCTTCATGGTAAAAAATAAGTTTTGGTAAAGGGAAATGTGCTTGATATTTGCATGACTGAGACCTAAACCTGAAAGCTTTGTAACCTTTCCCATGGTGATTCAATAAATAAATAAATAAATAAATTAAAAAAAAAACAAAAAACAAAAAACAAAAGTAGAGAGATAGTATGGAGAATCATGTCTGCCATGGAGGCAGGGGGAGGGTGGGAAAGGGGGGGGTATACCGGGTACACTGGTGGTTGGGAATGTGCACTGGTTAGAGGGATGGGTGTTTGATCATTGTGTGACTGTAACCCAAACATGAAAGCTTGTAACTATCTCACAGTGATTCAATAAAATTTAAAAAAGAAAATGTTATTACTTAGCCATTAGCTAAAATACCTCAAATAAAATTTAAATTTTGCTAAAAGAAAATCCTTGGACTAAAAATCTTACACCACAACACACTTAACTCATTCCCAGTCTCACTGGCAACCAGGAAACTTCTCAGACATCTTCAGACAATGTATCCCCTTAATAGTAAATAAAATAAAGATTACAATTGAGCTCATTTGCACTATTCATCAGTACACCTGATAATTTAGGATGGAACAAATATAAGTCACACTCTTTGTTTTCATGATTAGCAAAGGCAAGTTGCCCACCTAAACTAATTCTCCCCTTCCTGGGCACATGACCACCCATCTATATGTAGCATGGTCCTCAGACACTCTGGCTATTAGTTTTCAAGTGATCATACCGATCATACCAAAGTTCATACCAACAAACCATGATAAGAAATCAAGGCCACTCTTGGCTTGGATTATAAAATAAGCCTTCTTCTCCAAGCTCCCTTTACATCAGATAAAAACTGAGCATGGCAACAAATTTGCTGAAGGCTACAGGAGCTACAACATGGGGAAAAATACAAAGAAGAAATCTTGTCCTGGTGTAATGCATCCCCTGATCATGTAACCTAACTACTCATCTTGTATTGATAGGAGAGAAGAAACAACCTTTTACTCTTTTTTTTTTAAATCATTGGATATGTGTTATAAATTGGGATTATCATTTACCATTTTTATTGAGGTATCAAAAATTTCAATACTGTTGATTATACTTTTCATCATTCATTATTCAAACACTACACCCATTACCAGACTTCTGCTTCCTTCCCCAGTGTACAAAACAAAAAAGCTGGTACTAAACCCTAAACTAAAACTTATGTTTTTCTAATTAGTTCCTTTAAAAAAAATAGTTAAAAGCCAGTGTTAGAATAAATGCTTTGATGAAAAATAACTGTTTTCCCCTAAAAGAGCCAATGACTCATTTCTGCTTCCATAACCAATCAATTTTGGTTGAAGTGCATAAAACAACTTTAGCCTGAAAGAAATACGGAGCTGGCTCTTCATAAAATTAAGGATCTTCTCTTCATATTATACCAAAATTCAACAACTTATTGGTAAGTTGTTAGTTGCAATATAGATTATTCTCCTGTTACATAAAATTCCACTGATCTGGACTTTGAACAGAACCTTTCAATCAATATGCAATGGTCACTGGAAAAGATTACTTCATGTAGATCTTACAAATGTTCACACACTGGACATGTAATGTAAGGAAAAATCACACTCACTAATATCATAATTCATTTCATCAGAAAGCAGCTTTAGGTACTAGAACTTTTAAGCCACTCTTAAGCCAAGTTTTCAAAAATTCTAATTTTCACTTAAAATCATAAATCTTTAATCACTATTTTTCCTACATATCATGGTTTCATTTCCTTCCTTTTCAAGATGATACTCACTAAATACCTGTCTGAATAATTATACTTCAAGTAAAAAATGTTGCACAATGAAAGTAACAACTAGTTTGCAATCCAATTGTCAAAACTGTTCCTCAGGACAACCACCTAAGTTTTATTTTGGGGAGGTGGGGGGCATACCTGCCAATGCTCAGGGGTTACTCCTGACTATGTACTCAGAAATCACGTCAAGCAGTGCTCAGGGGACTATATGGGATGCCAAAGATCACCCTATCTGCTGCACTTTCTCCAGCCCCAGACAACCACCTATTTTAGTCTGACAAAGGGCTTGACGTAAATGTCCCACTTACACAATACTGCATGAACAATGCAATAGCAAATATTTAAATACTGTCGTGTTTGTATAATACATTCAGTCGTCACTACTTTGTCCTAGTTTGCCAGCCGTTTTCCTTACTGCTTTTCTGATAGTATCTTAGAAAGCCATTCTGATCTCCAAAAGGCTCCTAAAAGGGCCTCCTCCAGGAATCCCCAAGACATCCATTCACTTTGAAAACCATTATCTTAGAACAAGAACTGAATCCTGTTTCTAACTTAATTGCAAACATGAAACTCTCAATCACTACCTCTTCTTCCCACTCATTCCAATTCTTGCCTTACACACACCCTACATTTCTTCTCTTTTGTTTCTGGGAATAACCAAGCACTGCTCAGGACTTACTCCTGCCAGTGCTGGGGGGGAACCACATGTGGTGCCTAGGATGGGGTTGGCCACATGCACGGCAAGCACCCTGTTCACAGTACTATAACTCCAGCTCCTCTTCTCTGATGTTCCACACACTCTCCATTCCAAAATCTCAACTTCTATTAAAAGCATTTCTCACCTAGTTAACCTTATAAGGAATTGTGAATACAGCTAGAGAGCCACCGTACTAACTGGTACCACTTCCAAGTCCTAAAAACTAATGGAGAGTGTACCTTTCTACCATGTTCCACATCACCCACTGTTCCAAAGAGCACAGAACCTAGGATCTAGATGATTAACTTTGCATCTTCTTTTGGAACCTAATACTCTGTTGATGACCCTGTTTCTTATTTCACTGCAAATACAACTGAGACAATCCTCCCACAAATTCGATCAACATTTGGTGAAAGTATTGATGAAAGAACCTCAATACTGTCTTCCTTCTGCTAGAGTCTACAGTCTATATTTTGATCCAAGACCAATTCCTCCACTTGTCATTAGCCCCATCTTCTCTTCATCTATTTAGTAAGAGTACTCCTACAGTTTTCCCTCTCCTTCCTGAACTATAAAATATTATCATTTTACAGGGTCATTTCCAAGATTATACAAACATGTCGCAATACCTCTGATCTTAAGGAGGGGGGGAGGGAGAGAAGAATCCTTTATCTCCCATTTAAAACCAGAGTTTCCACAAGTCCCCCAAATTGCCTACAACTGCTATTTCACTTTCACTAAGCCCATTCCATCATTCCATCTTGAACCTAACCCAAGCAGGCCTTGCCCCAATTTCTCCATTGAAAATCCTTGTCAAATCACCAGTGACCACCTCTACAACGCAAGCACTTGTGTGGTATGAAGTCAAAGAGTGGACGTTCAAAGGCTGGGGCAAAATGTTGAATTCAATTTTAGACCTCAAGTTTAAAAGAACTTTTTTGTGGAAATGGAATAATTAAAAACAGGTTCCATTCCCTACACAATTCTAGACGAGAGCTTCATCCAAGAGGTGGGAAGTTCACTAACAGATGTGTGTGTGTGTGTGTGTGTGTGTGTTCTGTTTTAAGCTGTCCTCGTATGCCTCATCCTCTTCATCAAGGTGGGACTTCGCTCTGTTCTATTCTACAGAGGGCACTTACAGAGCATCCCTGAAATCAATAATTGATGAAGGGGCAAAGTTAAAGAGGTAAAGGCTGCGGGACTGCAAATTTCAAAGCTTTCCTAGCCAATTTTCCAACTTCTGGCTCGGGAAAAAAAAAAGAAAAGAAAAGAAAATCTGCCAACTCGAACTGGATGGATGCCACTTCCAGATGGACCTGGATGGAGGATTTTTTCTTTTCCATCACCACGTAAACACAACGTAAGCACAGGCAGGAACCCTTTCCCAGGCATGGTTCCCAACTGGGTGGCAGCCGCCAGCGGGGCCTCACTTGCCCTGCTCCATGTATTTTCTCCTTGGCAGGTAAATGCAGGAGCGACTTCCTGCAGAACCTGAACAAGGCTCACGACTCTTCCCCGAGTGGATCCCTCGGCTATTATTTCATCATGCACCAGGTCGGGGCGAGGGCAGCCCCCACCTCCCTTGGCGAGCGCTACATTCCAGAAACCCACGGGGCAGGTCGGGGACACGACACGCAGGCCCGGAGCCACAGCATCCCGGGCGGGCTGGACCTGCCGGGCACGCGCGACACCCGGGTTCGATCCCCGGCGCCGCGGAAGGTGTTTCCCCCACCCCCACCCCGAGCATCTCCCCGAGAGATCCTTGAGCACTGAGCCAGGAGTAACCCCAGGGCATCGCCGGGCGTGACCCCCTCTCCACCCCCCACAAAAAAAGAGGGGGCGGAAGGGTGGCACTGTGCCAGCCCATGCTCGTGTACTTTAAAACTCTCGGGAGAACAGGGCGAGCCCCCGCGAGGGAGAACATCCCTTGACAGACACAGTTTCCAACCACACCGCGGAGTCTAACCCCACGCCCCGCGCGCCGCGCCCCGGCGGAAACGCCTCCAGAGCGGCCGCCTCCGAAGTCGTCACCTTCAGGATACATCCTCTCTCATAGTGCTCGCAGCCCCGCCGCCCGGCGCCATCTGCCACGACCGAGGCCGCCATGTCCAGCACCGGCCCACCGGCTCCTCGGACCCCGGCCCCGTCGGGAAGGAAAGCCACGCCCAGAAGAGCAGCGCCGCTCCCGCACGCTCGCTCCCTCGCTCGCTCGCCCACAGCCGCCGCCGCCGCCACAGCCAAGATGGCGGCCGCGCACGTGACCCGGGGCAGCCACACTTCCGGTTCCTGGGCCGACGGGGCGGAAGCGCAGGGAGACGCAATCTGTCGTCGATGTTAGTCGGTCCCTTCGCTCCTAACGGTAATGACTCTTAGGTGGCCTCTTCCTTTACCCCCACCTCCCCCCGCCATGGCCGACCCGCCCAGCCCGTGTGTGTGTGTGTGTGTGTGTGTGCGCGTGCGCCTCGCCGCGACGAGAATCGCAGTGGTGGCGCCGAGGTGTCCGGCGGCCCCCGAGGCGAGGGACGCGCCGCGGTCGCCTCGGCACCGGTGACTGGGCGGCCCCTCCCTCCCTCGCTCCCGGGCGTCGGGAGCCGCGAGGAGGGGGCGGAGCTTCCCGGCTTCCGGGCCCTGCGTGGGGGCGTGGGGGGGGGCCGGGCGCGAAGCCGGGAGGGTCCCGCTGCCGTCGGCGCCGCTATCCGCGTCGTCCTCGCCGCCTCTCCCGGGCCTGGCGCCGGGGTCCTCTCTGCTCTGTCCCTGCACACACGCGGCGCCCGTCACCGAAGGGGGTCGCCGCCGCGTCTTCTTGGTGGAGCGGCTGGACGTGGGGGGCGGGGCGTCGGGGAGACGCGGGGCGCAGAAACGCAGGGGGAGTTGCCGCCGTTAGCTGCACCGCGCCCCCCTTCCCCCCCCCCCAGAGCTGAGCCGTGCCCCGACGGGGACCCCCGAAGGCGATCCGTCCCGCCGCCGCCTTCTAGCTCCCCTTCCCCCGACGCGCACATTTCCCACGCCCCGAAACTCTTGAGACCCAGGGTGGTCTCCTGTGCCTCCTCCCTCCCCTCGCAGACCTGCTTTTCAGCCCTGACCGGTTTCTTTCTTTTTTTTTTTTTTTCCCTTTTCTTTCCAGTTCGGTGATGAAGCGCTAAAATCATGGTGAAATGTTGCTCGGCCATTGGATGTGCCTCTCGCTGTTTGCCCAATTCCAAGCTAAAGGGATTGACATTTCACGTGTAAGACTCCACTGTGGTTATAAGCCTAGGACTTTCGGATGGAAAAAGTGAAAGAAAGACAGTTGGGCTTAAGCCTCCCTTGTCTGGACTAGAGTTTTCCCCAGTACTTTTTTTTTTTGGAGGGGGCGGGGGCAAAGTGGAGGACCACCCAGGTAGTGGGCTGGGCTGGCCTGAGGGATGCTCCAACAACTGCAGTGGGTAGAGCAGGGGACCAGCCTCTCCTTGGCCCTCTGAGCTAGCTCCTCTCCCAAGTGCTTTTTCAGTAACTTTCTTAGTTTGAATTGGCTTGCACCCGACACTTGAGCAAATTAAAAGTTTAAGAGACCTTTTTAAGACATCAGAGACTGGTTTAAGAAAAATTTCATCAGACCCATGTTTGCTAATCTCTTTAAATTGTAACATACCTCCAAAGAAAGTCATCTTTACATATAGTGAACAGTGTGAAGGAAGAATTGTTGCCTGAATAGATTCTGTTCTGTTCGGAAGTAGATCAAGCTTAGATTGTAGAGATAAATGTGTAAGTACAAGTTCTAGCCAAGGGTTCTGTTCCCCTGTATTGTAGATACAGCAGGATGACTCTTATTTAATGATTTAGCCAGTCCTCTGACAAGCATAGAAAGGAAAAGACAAGAATTATTTGTTTACCAGCTGTTTGTTTTGCTGCTTTTTGTGCCAAGGATTGTGCTGTGTACTCAAGAAAGATGTAACTACTTAGCTAGGTATGATAAAATAAAAAACTAGTATGTGTACCCTCTCTCATCTCAAGGAAAAAATATGAACCGTCTTAGAAACTAGGGCAAGTGTGGTTATCTTTATCTTTCAGAATGACTCTAATGTCCAGAACTCCAAACTCAGCATCATTTTTCTTCATATGCTAAGCATTATAGATCTGTGTTTATTAAATATAATAAACAGTTTTTTGATGCTGAACGAAAGAAGAGAAGAACAAAATATAAGGGGAGCTGTTCATCTGGGAAAAGTTCTGGAAATCGGTTCAGATAGAAAAAAGCTCAAGTGATTGTCTTATAAAACCTCCATTGTGAATCTTTCTCTCCTAAGTTGCTAAATATCCATTGAAACGTTTCTTCTTTATAAGGATAAGTGAAATGAGGACTATAGATCTGTAGCATCATGAGTCATGGTGGTTTCCAAAATATTCCAGTTTTCGATAATAATAAACCAAAAGGTCAAAGCATTTTTCTTGTATATATTGATATAGTGTGTTTTTTTAAAATCTTCTTCTAGATTCCCCACAGATGAAAATGTCAAAAGAAAATGGGTATTAGCAATGAAAAGACTTGATGTGAATGCTGCAGGCATCTGGGAGCCTAAAAAAGGAGATGTATTATGTTCAAGGCACTTTAAGAAGACAGACTTTGACAGAAGTACTCCAAATATTAAATTAAAACCTGGAGTCGTACCTTCTGTCTTTGATGTCCCATCTCACTTACAGGTCTGTATATAGAGTACTGTTTACCTGGACTGAAGAAGTAATACAGGGATTGAAGCACAAAGTTACCGACCCTGGTTCAGTCCCCAGCATTGCATATGGGGCCCCCAGGAATGATTCCTGAGCACAGAGCCAGAATAGCCCCAGAGCACCACCAGGCAGGGCCCAAAGTTTCCAAACTAGAGACTAACGGAGTCCAATATGGAAAATTCAGGGATTGCTTAGGGGTTTTCCACAGCATTAGTAATGAGTTTCAGTTGAAAATTTTCTGTCCTCCCTGATAGCTGGAAACAAGGGGAGGAGTTCAGAAGCAAACTTGTCCCATGCTGTCTTGGTCACCTTGTGCACTTCTGAGAGTTTAAGTAGACACCACCTCACAATTCTCCCACAGTTCTCAACCACTACTAACCAAAGCTGGCCTGGCAATAACAAATGTACATTAGGTTTCCTCCCCCACTCCCACTACCAGCAAGACTATTATGTTGAGGACGCAATGAAATATGAACATAATAACTCAATCACAATAAAATTACTTTGAAAAACTAATATGTCCTTCTTACAAAAATTTTTCATTATTCAAAATTATATGGCGCTGCAAAAAAAGAAGAGAAATAACAGTAACCAGAGCTAATACTGTTGACACTTTAATTCTGTTATTTTTGAGGGGGGGGGTTGTTTGTTTCATTTTGTTTTAGTGCCACACCTCGCAGTGCTTAGGGGGTCAAATAGTACCAGGGATTGAGCCCTGGATTCCTGCAGGCTAAGCATGAGTCCAGCCCCTCGAGCCATTGCGGGCCCAGTAGTGTAGTGTAATGCTTTAATCCATGTTTTCCGTATAGCATGTTCATGTTACATTCTTAGAAAAATATACTGTATCTTTTTTTTTATACTGTATCTTTTTTGCTCTTAAAACAAATCACCTCTATGGTCTTAGTAGGTGCCAGACACTATTCTGAGCTCATGAAATAACAGTTCATGTAGTTCTCATAATAACCATATGAAATAAACAATTTATCAGTCACATTGTTAATGAGAATTTAAGGCAACTTAGGTCCAGAGAACTGGAATACCTTCCCCAAACTTTTTAGTTGGCAGAGACGAGACTTGAACTCGGACATTTTGGCTCTTGCACAAGGGATGTCGTTCAGCTGTAGAGTATCACCTGGCATGTGTGAGACCCTAAGTCCAACCCCTAACATTGAAGGGGAAAAAAGTAATAAATGCAGAGTCCTCTGTCCCACTCCCAGAGAATTTGATCCCATATGCATTCCATAATTGGGGCAGGCATTAAGGAATCTGCACTTTGTTACAAATGCCCCCCCAAACAATGTTTGGAACACGTTTTTAAGAGAAATCTATAAAAAAAAAAAAAAACTTTAAAAAAATATTCTTTTTTTTTTTTTTTTTTTTTTTGGTAAGAACCACTACTAACCTAAACTGGCAATAACAGTGGTGCTGGAGTTCCAGAAAGGCCACACCCAGTATTGCTCAAGGTTCACCAGGACTACAGCCATGAGGTATAGAGGAGTCAACCCAGGGCCTTGCATGTGCTCTTACTTGAGCTATATCCCTGGCCATAACCATCAATTTTTTTCTGTTTTTTTTTTTCTTTTTGGGTCACACACGGCGATTCACAGGGGTTCCTCCTCCTGGTTCTGCACTCAGGAGTTACTCCTGGCAGTGCTCAGGGGACCATATGGGATGCTGGGAATCGAACCGGGGTTTGGCTGCTTGCAAGGCAAACGCCCTACCCGCTGTGCTATCGCTCCAGCCCCCATCACCATCAATTTTTTTAAACTAAATTTTATATTGAAGTTCAACACATATGGAAAAATTATACATCATAAGTGTACAAAGCAACAAATAATCTCAAAGTGATTTAATTCATGTAATTCCCCATTTTAATTATTTCTAGTTCCCCAGCAGCCTCCTTCATGCTCTCCCCATCACGACACCATGAAAGGTAACTGCTCTCCTGATTTCAGGCATCACTCGTATTTAAGTGGAATTACACAGCATGCTGTCTGGCTTTCTTAGCTCATTTTAAGTGCTTCACTGACACGAAAGTGTGATAGTAGTCCATTTGGTTTTTTTTGTGTGTGTGCAATATAGTATTCTTGTGTACAATCTGATTTCTCCTTTCTGTTGGTGAACATTTGAGTTATTTCACTTTGGAGTCGTCATGAATGGTGCAACTATGAATATTTTTTCACCAGAATGTTTTTTTGGTGTACATTTGTACACATCTCTGTAAACTATCTCCACTGTTAAAAATGAAATTGCAGGGTCCTAAAGATATGTTTTTCAGTTTGCATAGATGGTGCCATAGTTTTTCAAAGCAGCTTCACCAATATATATTCAGATCATCAGTATTAAAAAGCTCCTCTGGTTCCTCATCCTTCAGGTATTTGATGGTGTCAGTTTTATAACCAACCATATCGGTTTTCATTTTTATAGGGGCCACACCTAGTAGTGTTGGGGCCAGGCGCTTACGGGTCACACCCAGAGATTCTTAGTTCAATGGTACAAATCTTACA